TCAGCTCGGTGCTTTGAGGTTTTTTTTTCCCCGAGCAAGTTTATTTCAGGAAATACTGCTAATAACAATAATAACAACAATAGGCTTGGGGAAAAAACACATCTTGTAATGAGACTCTGGGAAACTGGTGAGTTTGGGGGGTGTTTACCCCTTGCCGAGCCCAGCCCCCCACCATGCCAAGGCAGGGGTGTCAGGTTGGGGGTCTGGGCACCTATTTTCCAGTATCAGCCCACCTATTTTCCAGTATCAACCCACTGCCCCTTTGCTGGAGCAGGACTTCCCAGCAGGAGGAGGAGCAAGGCAGGGAGAAGCATGTCACATCCCAGAGAAACAACAAACACATGATGGGATTTGGAGGCGAGGAGTGACAACACTGAAAGTGGTGGTGGGACTTGCTGCTCTTGGAGCCGGTGCACGGGAATGAACAGATACAGCCAGGCAGGTGAATTTTGGGAGAAGAGAGGCACCTGTGATGCTCCACCCCTGCCTTTTTGTTGCCTGTCAGGGATAACCACATCCACCTCCAGAGGCTTTAGCCATGCCAGGGCTGTAATTCCCTCACCTGCATCCTGGCCCTGCTGTCAGCTTTTTAAAGGAGGCTTTGGGGCTGCTGCTGTAAACTCCAGGATCTGGTGGGTAGGAGGTCGTTGGATGTGGGTGCTTGGAGGCTCTCCTGGGTGCTTTGGGATGCACAGGTAGGAGATACAGCAGCTCTAGAATGTCTGTGAGGTTTGAGTGCCTGTCACAGAGGGTTGTCTGGTTTTTTTTTTACAGATAGTCCTTAATAATAATTTGCTGACACCTCTGCTCTCCTTCCAAGAGTGCCAAGGGTTTATATTTTCCTATGGTGAGCAGCTTCTATTTTTCAGTTTTAGGAGTAAAAAAGAAAACCTCGGTCCTAATTCTTGACGGAGCATTCTCCAAACTGCCTGTGCTCGGCCTTGCTCCCGTTTTATTTACGTTACAATCACAGCAGAGATTTGCTTGGAAAAATTGAATAAGTAGCCAAGAAGAATACACACAAACTGCCCAGGAGAGATAATCAGTTGTTAAAACATGCCTGCTGCTCTAATTAGAAAGGAAATGAAATTGGGTTTAGAGTGGAATTAACTGAAGGCTCCCTTATCCTGTCTGTCTACTCTGCTCTCCCAGCCCTTCTGGACAAATATGATGAAAAGGGAAAAGAAAGCTGGTCCTCTCTGAAGAACCTGTTCCCTGGAGATCCCTCCAGAGCCTGGGCCTGAGCAAAGCCAGGGAAAGACACCCTGTCCCTTCTGCTCATCCAAAACGTGCCTTCAGCTTCAGTACCACCCGTTCTAGAGGCTCACACAGAGCTCTTGCTTCACCACTGCCTTGTACTCATTTTTGGCATCCAGGGAATAGGCAGAAGTAGATTGATTGTGCCTAATAGGTGGTTTAAGCTGTTAGAAATTATTTTCTCTTTATTAAATCTTAGTGGGTACCACAGATATCATCTCCTTCTCCAAGTGAAGGGTTAAAAGGGTCACTGCTGCTGATACGATGGGAATAACACTTCAGACTTAGCCTCTCCTTTGAAAGGAGGAGAACTCTGGCCCTTAAATCTGTCCCCTCAGGGGGAAGGGATGTAGATAGGTGTGCTGTGTTATGTGGTCAGCGCTCTTTTGCTGTCTGCTTTGTGATCCTGTCCCTTCCTGAGCACAGGGTGATCCATCCTCTGGCCTCTCCCTGGGAAGGGCCCATCCCTCTGAACGCTCATCCCTGCTCTCTGCTGTTCAGGGAATGACTCTGGGTTTCCCACACATGGGTGGGATTTCCAGGATGCTAAAAGCCCTTGAAAATGGGCGAAATTAAACGTTAGCAGTGATAAAAAAAGGAGCTCCGAGGGTTCGCTGTGACACCTTCTCTCTGCTTTCACTCGAAATCCAGCTTTGCAGATTCCGAGGAGGAAAAGCAAGTTGTCAGCGCCTGCAAACCCAGAAATGATGGCTCTGAAACCAGCTTGGGGTGTTGATGGGGAGCAGCTGGGATCTCCAGCAGGGCACTGTGCAGGCACTGGTGGGAAGAAGCTCCTTCATCCAAGTGAGGAGAAGAAACTGGCCCATGGGAGGACTTTGCCAACATGAATGTCGTGCTGAAATCTTTTTTATTGAACACCAGCTTGCACAGCAGTAGCTATGCCAGTTTTTACTCCTGCTGGCTGATTTGAAATTATTTACTGGCAGAAGTCAATGTTTGGAGACATTTTGATATTTCTAGGCAAGCTCCTTTGCAGGCATCTCTTCATCATCCCCTCTGAGCCTGGATACCGAGGGCAGGGTCCTTCCAACCACATCTCCCAAAGGGCTCAGGCCCTGGAAAGGTGCTTCACCAGAGTGCTTTGTGCATCCTAGCAGTTTGGGTGTTCCTCCTCTCCTCATCATCCTCCCAACATCTCCTCTTTGTTAAACTCTGCATTTAATACCTGTGTGATTCCAGATGTTAGCAAGGAAGGAAGCCACTTCTGGCTTTTCCCTTGGATTGAGTTCATAAAATCACTGAAGGTTTTGGTTTGGAAGGGACTTTAAAGATGATCTAATTCCAAGCTTCCTGCCATGGGGCATTCCTATAGATCCCAGCTTTCTGCCTGGCTGGCTTGGCTGGCTCTAAGGAGATCCTTGCTGATAAATGAGCAAATTGCTAGATGGGTAAAAGATGTACACTCTGTGTCCTCTGTAATTTGTTCTACCACAAAACTGTCATGGAAGTGAAATGCAATCGATGGATCAGACCTGAAGGCTTCAATTTAATCTCTACAAAGATTAATCTCTAAAGAGTCAAAGTTTTCCCTTGTTATCTCTTTTTTTCAGTGCCACCAGAGCCCCATCCCATCACAGTCAGACAAAATCCTCAGGTAATTTCACACCTTTGCACTTTTTGTTTCCTTTCTTTAAATAAAACTCTCTCCTCATCTGGAGGGTCAGCAGATGTACCATCTAAATCCAATTGAAATCCTGCTCTCTGGTTGAGACATTGGCAAAAATGAAGAAGTGGGGTTGATCTGTCATAGGTTGCCCAGAGGAGCTGTGGCTGCCCCGTCCCTGGAAGTGCTCAAGGCCAGGTTGGATGGGGCTTGGAGCAACCTGGGCTAGTGGAAAGTGTCCCTGCCTGTGGCAGGGTGTTGGAATTAGATGATCTCGAAGGTCCCTTCCAACCCAAAGCATTCCATGACTCTGTGATCTACCTCACCTGACTCTCCTGGACACTTTTTCCCAGAAAAGCATCTCTGATGGTTTCTATTTTTACTTCCACTCACGGCTGAGTTGTAACACTGCTCACTTTCATAGGAGACCCAGAAACCTCAGCTTGTCCCTCTTGCACTTGCCTGCTGGGCCTGGGGATGGGTTGGGACCACGATCTTTGCTCTGGAGGATTTCTGAAGGCATCTCATTTGTTTCAAGCCCAAGACAGGCCCCAGCCCTTGGAAGGAGCATTGTGTCCAAAGGAAACCCCATTCCCCTGGAGGCTTGTCTGCCCTCTCCAACCTGCAGAGGAGTCCACCACGTAGCAGCTGGGAGGTGGCTGATCTGCAGAAATTTGTGTTTTACTTGTTTCTGGGTGTTTTAATCTGTTGCAATTAGCTTGCTTCCTTTATGGCCATTTGTTGTGCTGATTGTTTGCCATATAAATTTGGGCCTGAGCCAGAGAAAGCAGCGGTCTGGAAAACCAGCTGGTACCTGAATCTGGTCAGAGCACTGGGCTGATGCACAGATTATTTTATGATGACTTATTTTGAGCCATGAAGAGGTGAAGGTTTGGTCTTTACCAGCCTGGAGTATCACTGCCCCAAAAAACCAAAACTCTACAATCCCTCCACAAACTTCTTAAGGTCGAGTTTATGCTGAAAAACTAGTGAAAGCTACTGAAAACTGATCACTAAGAGTTGAAGAGATGCTTGATGTTGGTCCCCAGGAGGTGGAGATTTTGGGGTTCCTCCCTGAGGCTGCAGAGGGAGAAAGGCATCACTGCTGCTTCTTGCTTATGTTACCTGACTGGTGCCAGTTCAGAGGAGACTTGTAGGAGTGTAAGAATTTGCTCTCAGAAGATTTGGGAGAACAGAAAACCAAAATAAAGGAGTAGAAAGCTGCTTTGCAATTGGGAGGTGGTGCTGCAGAGCCCCCAGCCTTGCTCTGTGTGCTCTCCTGGTCCTGGTTTTCCCAGGCTGCACGTGGTCTGAGCCCCTCCTGCTCACCGTGTGCCTGGCACCAGTCAGGATCTCCCAGCAAACTCTTCCTGGGGACCTGGGCAAGCCCCACTTACCTCCCCAGGAGGGTGGACACGTAGGAGACAGAAGCATCAGCCACCTGGACTCCTGGAGGTAAGGAACAGCCAGCTATACCTGATATAAACTCCCAAATCTTCACCACCTCAGCACTGCAACTGTTGCTTTAGCCTTGTCAGGAGTTGGTTGGGGACAAAAAAAAGGGACTCCATCAGGACACAGCAAGGTGTCCTTCAGCATGCCCTATGCCTGGGCTCAAGCAGGAGAAGTCCCAGGGCATGGCTTGGATGCAAAAGGGATGCTGGGAAGGGCGAGCAGCTTTTGGGTCTCCCTCTCACCCTCAGGATGCTCCTGTCTCCCCCCACGGTGCAGCTGTTGTGGGGGGAGGGTATGACTTTCTCCCGTCCCTCTTGGGAATTTGGGGTGTCCATCTGGGAGTCTGGGCTGCTCAGGGATTCCTGCTGTGCAAGGCATGGCACGGAGTCAGCCTGGGATCACGGGTGCTGCTGGCTTAGGAAGAAGTAATAATTCATGTCTCTGTTCCTGGGTCACACTTGAAATTAATGAATGGCTTTGAAAAAAATTGGCCAGTGTCCTTTTATTAATATAGTTTGGACTCTTTCTTTGCCCATGGGTGTCCGGGCACAATTAGGTCATGCTTTCAAGCTCTTTCCAACTTGGAAAAGACAAGGTTTTATTTTGTAGTGAGAATTGGAGATGCTCTGCTAATCCCACGGCTCCTGCAGCAGGGTCTTCAGTGGTGAGGTGGGGGGGAAGCAAATGTAGTGAGCAAACTGTCATAAAACCACGGTCTGGTGTGACTGGCACATGCAGGTATCCTTCAGTAAGAGGCATAAAAGTCCACGCCAGGATTCACAGGGCTGGAATGAAGTCATTGCCAAGCATTTGCTGCCGGATGCCTTCCCCGGGTCTAGCTCTTTAACGGCTCTTAATGGGCCAAAACGGGGAGGCTGCGAGGAGGAGGCTGAAGTGAAGCCCTAATTGTGAGGCAGAGCTTCAGAACCCCGTCCAAGCACTGAGCTTTGTGTTACAGGTGGATGAGAGGAGCAGGAGAGGTGGCATTTCTGCGAGACCACGTTTGGCTGGCACCACCTCAGGGAGGATCGCTTTGGGGGCAGAGATGCTGGAGGAGAGGAATATTCAGGAGAGTTCCAAGGTTTTGAAGTTTCTTCTCTGGGGGACTTCGAGGTATGTTTGTATGTAAAAAAGAAAAGCCCCCCCTCCAAAAAAAAAGCTGTGTCTTGAGCATTTCTCTTGTGAATCACAACCTTCTCGATCTTTCTGCAGCCCACTAGGAACCCCAGGCTACTGTTCACTCTCCAGCATCACCTTTATCCTTCTTTTAAGATGTTAAAATGTTAGTTTGGGGTGTCTGGGGGTGGAATTTGGATGCTAGGCTGGCTCCTCTTCCTGCTTCCCCCGTGGTGATGGGCACCAGGGCTGTGTGCACATAGCACGGGTGATGGCGACCACAAAGCAGGAGGGGGAAAAAAAGAAACCACACGCCCAGGAGGGGAAAATAATCAAGGTGAGGGGAAGGAAAAAAACCAACTTGTCCTCTTATAACATAAAAGCCCTCCTCCCCTAGAAAGAAATAAAAGCCAGAGTGAAATGAAGGTAAATGCCAGAGGTTTAAGTACCACGCTGCCGAGTGTGTTTTAAAGGTTACCTTTCAGGGGGTTGAAGAGGGAGCGAGAGAGAGACAGAAAGGGAAGGAGTTGGAGCACTTCCCATTGCGAGGGCCACTCCAGCTCTTAATGGATTTTTATGTCCCTGTCTGTTTTTTGTGACATTATTAAAATTGCTTATTTTTAATTTTTTTTTCTCCCCCACTTTCTTCATCTGGGGGAAGGGGTCGGAGGGGGGAGCAGGAGGGACAAACTCTGTTGCCATGGCAATCTCCAGCTGCACGGTGCACATCTGCATGGCTGATTGGGTGCAAAAAGGAAGTTTTCGGGTCGTTTTTGTCTTAAGTGTGTGTATGTGTGTGTGTGTGCACGCCAGGACAAAAGTCCTAGGGCTTAATTACAGGCATGGGAAGGTGACATTTCCAGTGCTTACCTGATGAAGATGAAGAAATGAGGAGCCTGAAGGAAGGTAAACACCTGTGTATAATGTGAATGCTGTGTGGCTGACCCCCTCCCCCTTTATCTTCCACACAGCAAATATCAACCCATTTGCTATGCAGAAATCTGCCAAAAAACTATCTGTGGCTTAAGGAATGTGCCTTTACCTTTGGTGTGTTGTGGATGTTCCCAGCACACCCGGTAGAATGTAGGCCAGCAGCTTCTAAAAGCGGGCAAAAATTGGTCTTGGAGGGTAAAACAGGATTCCTGCATCCCAGGGGGATGAAGTGTCAGCCTGCTAGGTGACACCTGGGTGGGCTTCCAGGGTGCTCCTTACATCTCAAGGGCATCGTCCTCATGATATGCTGGCAACTGAGGGGGGAAAAAAAAAAACAAAACACCATTTTTGGGTTTCTGCATGGGATAAAAAAGCCACACTGGGGCTAAACTTGGATGGGAGACATCATTTCTGCTGGTCACCTACCTCCCTTTTTCCCTGTGCAACTGAGAGGTGTCCAGGGCTGCTTGCTGGGAGCAGAGTAGCATCACCTGATGCTGGAAACATGGGACCACCAGTGCAGAGGCTGTGATTCCCATTGTGGATGGCAGCATGGGATCTTGGGGTGCTCAGCCTGCAGCATCCTTCACTCCCCAGGGATGCTCAGCCTGTAGGGCAAGGGAGATACCCCCTCTCTGCTCCCAGTATCCCAGAGTAAAAGCTCGTGGAGCAGAGGCAAGAGGCACTGCAGAGACTGAGGTGCATCAGCTGAGATGGTTTCTTGTGACTGGAAAAACACCCAAGGGCTCAGGGCCCCCTGACAGGACAAAGGGGTGCCAACCTCTCAGGGTAGGGGGGTGGCTCGGAGGGAAGAGACCCCAGCACGATGACAATCTCCGCCTCTGTGAGCCCCAGCAAGCCCGCTGGGCACCCTGACTGGGCTCTTGCTGGGTGTCAGATGGCCTCAGAGAAACAAATTATCACCTCGGCTGGGAGGCTGATGCGGTTTCATTTACTGCTGCTTTTACCAGCCGCGCTCGGTGCCCAGCAGGACCCGCCAGCCGGCGCTGGGGGAGGCAAGTGGAGATGATGGAGGATGTCCCCCAGCACTGAGCTCAATTTTAGCCACTGTCACAGCTCCTGCAGTGAGGGATTTGCTGTAATTGCATGTGCAGGCAGAGAGAGAGGGGGAAATCCCTGGCATGGGGTGCTTGGGCAGACCGGGATCCCTTCCCTGGGGAGATGGGGGCTGCAAAATCTCCTTTCCCTCCTGGCCACAAGCCTTGCCTCCACGGGAAAGTCTTCAGCACGGATCCCAGCTCCTGGTGGGGAAGCAGAAAGGGTAAGAGGGACGGTGGGTGCTACCTCTGCTTCACCTGCAGCCCCCTCTGTGGATGCATCCTCGGTGGGCTGCACCTGAACCTGCTCCAGGTGCCCAGGGTAGGGACAGAGAGGGACATCCTCTGCCCCCAGAGCTGCCCAGACACATCAGCAGGCACTGCTACTCCAGCAGATGGGTGGGAACAGAATTAACCTCTTAAAGTTTTTCAGCTTCACATCTGAGATCTGTGTTTTGTCAGCAAAACCCTGGGGAGTGCACCTAATAAAATGAACGGACCTTTAATACAAAGTGGGTGTTTGGGGGTTTTATTTGGGTTTTTTTTTTTACCTCCAGGGTCTAAATTACTTCTCTTATTCTCTTGTTTCCTTTGCTCTTATTTCACCAGGAATCCCAGCATAAAATACCCTGGAAACACTTGGGAAGAAGTGGCAAAACAAGACGTTATTGGGAATACTTGGGACTGCCACAGAAGTCACGGAGCAGCCAAGCAGTGGCAGGACTGGAAAGGTATTATTTGTTTGTTTGTTTGTGAGGGGGGGCTATTTTTTGGTTTTTTGGTGTGGTTTGTTTGGGGTTTTTTGTAAGAACAGAGCTTAGCATCCTCATTTAAGGAGGGCAGCAGCACCTACTCAAGCTGTTTTATGGGGTGCTGGCAAAGGAGAAAGGATGGGCTGAGTACAGAGGGAGCTGTGCTCTCAGAAAAGGGAAGAAAAGCACTGGTTACCCCTCCTGAGATTATTAGGTGTGTGCCAGTGTATATATTTAGGTTGTGGTTAACTTCCCGTGCCTCCCAGAGCCCCTGGCCAGCGCTGCAGGGGTACCCAGTGCCCTCCATGCCGGATTAACTCGGCCAGCACTCGATTAGGACTCGTGTTTATTGCTTTGGTTGATAACACCGCTACAATGTGGGGGGGGGCAAAAACCCATGAAAGCAAGGGAGACATGGAGATTTAATTGGATAATTCTCACTGAAGCATTTCCTGGTTAACCAGCCAGAACCCCACCTGCATCTTTCCATTATTTTGCATGTTAACAAGGTCTGCGTCCCGTGAAGCGGCTGGTGGGGCGTGAGGGGTTATTAAACCTGGCAGCGCCACTTCCAGTTATTCTCCAGGGGAACTATGGGGTGGAGCTGGATGTCAGTGCTCTGATCCAGCAGTCCTTGGGGAGCTGGGTGCCTGGCAGGGCGGCTGGGCTTCTTCCTTAGGATGTTCACACACAGAGCTGGAGCAAAATGCAGCTGTTTAGGAGCTCAGTGTCATCGTGAGCAGATACTCTCCACTAGCAGAGAGACAAATGATGAGGTGTTGACATATAACTTCCATCAGGGTGAATAAACAGGAGCTCTGGCTTTATTTTGCCTTTTTCCCTGCGTTTGACCAATGAGTAATAGCATGAAGCACGGTAGTGGGAGCAGAATCACAGAATCATTTAGGTTGAAAAAAGGACCTTTAAGATCACCTTTAAGTGCTGTTCCCCCTGCACTGCCAACCCACTAAACCATGTCCCCAAGTGCCACATCCCTCCAGGGCTGGGCAGCCTGTTCCAGTGTTTGACAACCCTTTCAGTAAAGAATTTTCCCCCAATATCCAATCTATCTCCCCTGGTGCAGCTTGAGGCTGTTTCCTCTTGTCCTGTCCCTTGTTCTGTGGGAGCAGAGCGTGATCCCCCCCTGGATCCCCCGCTCCTGTCAGGGAGTTGCAGAGCCAGAAGGTCCCCCCTGAGCCTCCTTTTCTCCAGGCTGAGCCCCCCCAGCTCCCTCAGCTGCTCCTGCTGCTTCAGCCCCTTCCCAGCTCTGTTCTCTTTCCTGGACATGCTCCAGCCCCTCAGTATCTCTCTTGAAATGAAGAACAACTGAAAACATCTGGACTTGTTTATTTTGCTCTCCCTATCCATCCACAACAACCTCAATGGAGGGGTTTCTTTCTCCCAAGGCCAGGCTGGGCACAGATATTAAGCCATGTGGGAAAGACCTGCAAAAGACAGTAATGGAAAAAGGCTTAAAAATATAAAATATATCAGTAGAAACTTCTGGAGCTCTTCCCATCCCAGACAACCTGACCTTCAACTGGTTGAACTCCATCCCACAATTTTAACGGCTGTCAGTGCAAACACAAGATGGTTGTTCTTGGAAACACTGAGCCATCCCCCAAGCCTTGAGAGAAATTCATGTTGCCCTTGTCCCTCCAAGGAGGTTTCACTCCAAGTGCTTTATTTATCTCAGAAGCACCATGCTGTTCTCTGGGAGGTTGCCCTCTGCCTCGACCCTCAGAAAGCATGTCCTGAAAGATGTCACTCGGTGGGGAAGCAAGGCATAAATGTGTTTGTCTGAAAAGCTGCAGAACCAGGCTGGGCAAACAAACACCGGGAAGGTGGAGGAAGATCTCCCGTTCTCCCTAACATTCCTAGCAAAGAGTGGAGAGCCAGGGAAAAGCCACTGTAGGACCCACTCCTGCCATAGGACCCCCCCGTCAAGGTGGGTATTTTTCACAGTTGCTTCTTAGGAGGGGGGAAAATTTGAATAAGCAGCTGATAATCCCCAATTCTCAAAATTATTGTGGGTAGCAAATTAGCAGCAGCAAGGGGAGGCAGGTGACTCGAGCTGACTCAGTCACAGGGAGCATCCTCCTCCCAGAGCGTGGATTGTCGCAGCTCTGACAGGAATCCTTTAACCAGGTTCTGGATGCCATGGGAGAAGCAGGCTCTGCACGAGCTTCTCCCTGAGCTGCACAGCTCAGACTGAGAAGGGACATTTAAAATACCAAGATTAAAATCTCCAGGTCTCCTTTATTGCCCAGTAAAGCCACCTTCTTGGCACAGACAGCGGGAGGCTCTGTGCCAGCCACCCCTCCTCCTCAGGGGCTCTCTTTTTCACCTGAAGAACCCAAAATCAAGAGGCTGCCACCCTCCTGCAGTTTTCTCCCCTTTACCCAACATGGGCTTGTGGGCACAGATGGAGACCTCGAGCCCTGTTTCAGCATGTGAGGATGGAAACAATGACAACAGCATTGAAGGGAGCTGGACAGGGACTTTGGACGAGGGCATGGGGTGACAGGACAAGGAGAATGGCTTCAAACTGACAGAGGGCAGGGTTGGGTGGGATATTGGGAAGAAATTCTTGGCTGTGAGGATGGTGTGGCCCTGGCACAGGTTGCCCAGAGAAGCTGTGGCTGCCCCTGGATCCCTGGAAGTGTCCAAGGCCAGGTTGGACGGGGCTTGGAGCAACCTGGGCTAGTGGAAGGTGTCCCCGCAGAGGGTTAGAACTGGATGATCCTCAAACTCTCTTCCAATGCAAACCATTCTAGGATTCTATGGCTTCAGCCAGGCAGAAGACCAGGAAACGTGACTGGAGCTGCATCACAAACAGAAATGCACCGGGATGTGTGGCTGGAGACCCTGACCCCTCCACCTCTGACCTTCCCAAATCCAGCCTCTCTGGCAGGTACCCCCTGTGGCCCCCCTGGTGCTGTTGGCAGGTATATTGCAGGCGGAAAACAGGCTTTGCCTTGGGGAGCACCATGTGTCATTCATCAAAGGATGTTCCCAGCACTGGGCAGTGACACACATTGTTAGCAGGGCCAGGCTGAATCAAGAAAAACAAGTGAGATGACACTCAGAGATCAGTAATTCCTCCCCCTCACTCATAACTCTGTCAGCCCTTTCAGCTGAATTGTCAAAATACGTTTGTCACAGAACAATTCCTACTCTCCTTTTATTTTATATTATTATTATTTTTTCCTCTTTTTCTGACGCTGGCTGAACTCATCCGTTTGGAACAAAACCCAATATTCATTTCCTCTCTGGGCAGTTGATTTTATTATTGGCTCACCTGCTCCAGCAGCTGAAAAGCTATAAGACTAGCTGGGTCTTCAAAATTAAATTCTGCCAGATTTTTTTTTTTTTCTTTTCCCCAGCCTCACGTATTCCGTGACTGCAGGTTACTGGCAGGGATTTGAAGATGTACTTGGCAAAGGCACTTTCTGTCTGGGACAGGGATGAGCAAAACAGGAAACCTGCTTCTCTCTAAATTAGCATCTTTCCAAAGGCTCAGGCTGTTCCAGAGCAGGACAGACCTTGTGCCATGCCCATCTTTTCCTGGGGGTGAAGTGGAGCTGTGGGCAGTCACTGGATGTTCCACTGGGAAAATGAAGATAAAAGAGGAAAACGTGGGATACTATGGGGTTTTTTTTTGAGAGGAGGAAGGCTCCAGCTTACACCCAGCTCAGCAGCTGGGAGCCCTGCCAGGCTAGGATGGACTTGGGATGATACTTGGATCTTGGGATCCTTCCCAGGCTCCCCAATTCCTGCCGTGGCAGGATGAATTTTGCTGCTTCAGGGACTGCACTGAGGAGGCCAGGAGCAGTTCTGCCTTCCACTGCCAGCTTTGCTTGTTTTAGTACTGCTCTTCTCCGCTGGGAGAAGGGAGATCTTGGGATGGGAAGGGAGGGATCCATATGTCCCATTGCATTGCTAAGACCAGCTCTCCCAATCCAGACCCAAAATGCTCCAAGGGCTGCTTGGAGAGCTGCTGTTAAGGTCTTGGGAACCACAGATTAGCCGGTGCTGAATTAAATTCCTCACCTTTCCTCGGGGTGATGTTATCTTCATCCTGCAGCCAGAGGAGCGAGGCCTGAGGGTAGGAACAGAGCCCTAATCTCTGTTGACACCAGCTTTCACCTCCCCAGCAATATTCCCCGCCTCGCTTGTCCACGCACACCTGTTTTCCATGCCTGTCTTTTCCGTGGGAATCCCAGCTGAGACGTTTGCTCCCTCAGAAGTTGCCTGCGGATGCCAGCCGAGGTGCCAAGGCCAAAAGGTGACCTCACCGTTTCTCAGCAGGAAATAAGTTTGCCAACAACTGGTATTTTCAGTGACCTCATATCAGCGAAGGATCTGTGTCCCGTCCTACCTGGAAATACCACGAGGACAGCGCTGGCAGCGGGAGCCGGTGCTTTTACTGGAAGGAATATTTTTAGCCTGGCAAGGTGTTGCCCTGGGATGCTTATTCCTCCAGACAGTAATACCGTGGTCTGTCAGAGCAAGCACACGGAATCTCTGGCTGCAGCACCCAGAGGAACAGCCCAGCCAGCCAGGGGTGGCACCAGCTCCATCCCAGTGCATCCCCAGCACCGCGGCCGGATCCGGGCCTGCCCGCCAGCGCAGGTCAGGGCTGGGCACGTGTTGGAACACGAAAATCAATCACAGCCGAAAATGAGAGGAAAGGGAAGTGTGAAGAAACCCTGGTGGGTGTCAGACAGGCCCCCCCACAGCCTGCCCTGAGAGGTCTCCCAAAGGGATAACGCCCAGGGAGGGGGGTGCACCCTCGGATTGCTGCTCTGCCCTGGGAAGTGGGTGCTGAAGCTGGGTGGCCTGCGGGTGCTGGATGATGCTGTGGTGCATGGCATGGTCCCCAAGCTCCCAGGAAATTCATCAGTGGGACTGGATATCCACAGGCAAGAAGGGCCATGCACCCACACTCCCTCCAGGCTGGCATTTCCCTTGTGATCCTCGCGATAAGCCAGGGCAGGAGGATGAGGAGCAACACCAGCTGTCATCTGCTGTACCTGAAGATTGGCTGAAGAGAGAGAAAGAGCTGACAGACACCAATTACCAGCTGCAATAAAGGATTGGGACGGTCTGCTCTGAGCCCCCAGCCTCTGCATGGGCTGTGCTTCTGTGCCTGCCCCCCCCAAGCTGCCTCCCAAGCTGGTTTGAAACCCAGAAGAAGGGGATAAATCCCAGTGGAGTGCATGCAACACCTGGATTTTGGCATGAGGAGGCTGTAGGAGAGCCTGGGGGACGCAATGCAGGCTGGCTGGCTGGGGACACCTCTCAGCCTGTCGTCCCTGAGCCGGCATCTGCACCAGCAGGTAACACCAAGCGGTTCCTGCCTTTGTGCTGGTCTTCTATCAACCCCCTAGAACCATCCCCCTGCACAAGAAAGCTCTCCAGCCTCCCAGTATCAGCATGCTGTTTTCCCAGGCACTCCTAGACTCGCACCCACCCTGCTGAGACCTTGGATGTGCTGTCAGAGGCAGCAGCAGCAGGATGGGGTGGCGGGCGAAGCCGGGGGCTCAGATTGTGACAGAGCAGGTGACTATTTTATTCTTTCGGGGGCAGGAGGAAGCAATTGCCATGTGGCACTGCCAGGGTATACCTGGAGGGTGCAGCTGATGAATAGGACTGTTTTACTTGCCGCAGGCTGAGCCACACAAAGCTCAGGAGAGTTTTTTCCTGAGCTGCTCCATTAACACAAACAGACAGCAATGCGAGCTGCTGACACCGGGGTTAATTAAATCCATCTCTCCATCAATTCTTATTCAGCTATTATCGATGGTCATTAGATCAGCGACAAAGTGACAAGCAAACAGTAATAGACTCATCTTAACCCTTGTGATGCTGGAGAAGGGTGAGCGGTGCAGGTGAGTGGGGAGGTGACTGCTCTGGTTCTCTGCTCAAATTCTGTCTGCTCTCTCTTAAGAGAATCCCACCTGGATTTGAATGAGTCCCCTTGGTAGGGCAGGTCACCAGCTCCGTTATTCCAAGAAAGAGTCTGTGCCTGTGTCCCTTTCTGTCCTTTTCCAACAGCTTCGTGGCCCGAGGTCACAGAATGCTAGAAAGGTTTGGATTGCAAGGGACCTTAAAGGTCATCTCCTTCCAACCTCCTGTCACGGGCAGGAACACCTTCCACTAGCCCAGGTTGCTCAGAGCCCCATCCAACCTGGCCCTGGACACTTCCAGGGATGGGGCAGCCACAGCTTTTCTGGGCAGCCTGTGCCAGGTCCCACAGGAGCTGCACTGTCCCTCAGGGATGCTGGGGACAGTGGATGCAGTTGGGGTGTTCACCTCAGCAACCAAACAAACCACGGGAAAATTAGTCACTGGGATAATTCCATCCACGGAAGGACTAAGAAGAATCAAAGAATGTGTGTTTTCAGCTCCCAGGGCTGTTCCTCCTTGCAGGGAGGCAGAGCTGCTTTCCCCCACCCCCTGCCCATGTCCTGAAGGCCCTTCCAGTGCCACTCACACTTTTACAGTCAGGCTCACGGGGAAAAGCTGCTGCTGTTGCTGCTGCTGCTGCTCCTCTCCTCCCTCTCCCCCTCTGATTAACAGCTTAAATGAGAACTGAAGGCTGCCCAAGGGCTGCAATACATTTTCACGCTTCTGCCGCCGCAGCCACCAAGCCAAGGTCCGGCTCCCTCCAAGGTCACTCACAACCTTCAAGTGACTTTCCAGCTTGCTTGGGGAGTTTGTGTCCTGCGGTTTTAACCCTTTAAAAAATGTTATTTGTTACCGCTTTTCTCCCTCTTACAATCCTTGCTCTCATGTTGCTGGAATCGGCCTGGTCACGGTGGTAGGGACAGGATTTTCTGGAGGAGATGCTTGAACTCCCTCTTTCCAACCTCTCTCCTTTGATGCAAAGACAAGATTTCTGAGTGCCGGTAAAAGTGCCCCATCTGCTCGGGCAGAGAAATGTTTGTTCTTGCAGGATTGCCTGGGGTTTGTGTTCCTGGAAATAGTTTATAGTTTGGGTGCTGGTTCACCTCTCTCCAGCACACGCTGCCGCAGCGCTTCGGTGCCTTTGTGGGGTTCAGAGATCTTGGCGTGTGCCTCAAATAGCTTTCTTTGTGTTGCTCTGTACAGCAGCTTTTAACACCTGCAGAAGCTGCAACGTGCTCAAGAGCCGGCATGGAAACACTTCACAAGTTGGTAAACCCTTGGTTGCTGGAGTCGGGAAATGGGCCGGGGGGAAAAGGAGGCAGGATGTTGTGGGGTGAGTGTGTGACAGACCCCTGTCTCCAAAAACACAGCCCTGCTGCTGGAGAAGGACCTCCTGGGTGCTGAGGTGGCACCCTGGCCTAGCTCAGCCTTGACCTCTTGGAGGGTTTGTTGCATGGATGGTGCCTCGCTGCCTCACTGTGATGGCAGTGGCAGGCAGTGTCTGCCTGTGATGGGCTAATCCTGGTCTCCTGGCCATCACCCCAGTCCTTTCTTTGGAGAAGGGAGGCCTTGATCCAGGCAGGGAATAGGGCACTGGTGAATGGAGAAGCAGGAATGCAGCTTTTGCACAGTCATCTCTGTAAGTGGGATCTATTTAGTGGGTGGCATCCCTGCCCATGGCAGGGGTTTGGAATAGGAGATCTTTAAGGTCCCTTCCAACCCACACCAGTCTGTGATTCTACAAGTCTCTAATATTCCCCCTGTGCACATACCCAAGGCACTCAGACAAGGGATACAGCATGGACACATTAGGAAACTTCCTTTATTCCTGAGCTGGGGAAAACAGCACGGAAGGGGAAAGCTGATTTCAGCTCCAGCAGATCACCTTGGGCTAAGGGCTGATCTGCAGGGGAGAGCAATTGCTCCCTTCAGCGCAGCCCTTGATCCAGCAAAATGCCTGTGTCCACTGGGGATCCAGCAAGTCTGAGCCTGAGCTCAGAA